AGGAAACTGAGATGGATCCAGGATGGAAGACGTCTATCATTAATTTACAACTTTGGGACTACAGCAGCAGAATATTCCTATAAAAGACTCAATCTAATTATGCTCAAAGTGTGGCAGACCTGAAGAGTCTGGTTCACCTGCTATGCTCTTCTCCATGAATAGAGATAGTCTATTCGGAGAGTGGCAGATTTGCAAGGGAGCAGTCTGGTCACTTTGGGGCTCCTTTCTCAAGGGAAGAGGAAGAAGTGCGCTTTTGGAGTCTTAGATTTTGTGCAGAGAGTCAGGTTCTGCTGTATGGAAAACACTGATCTGATCCTTGGCATTGTGCTTAGAGAAACGATGCGTCTTGAAGTTTTGGCATTATGGAAGTTATGGAACTATGCGTTGGCAGGCTGCAGGAAAGAAGGGTCTGGCCTAACAGGTGCTTCTCCAAGGAGGGAGAAAAGGATATGGTAATATTTGGATGCATGAGGATGAATGCATGTACATGTGTGAATGCTGAGTGAAAATATAACTCCCCTTGGTTTGTTTGTTAACCAATGTAATCGTAAATCCAACATAGTTGCACAGAATCTGTAAGACTGTATATCCAATCTAATTCTTTCTCTAAATGTTTTTCTGTAATCTGATGTACTCTCCCACACTGGAAATTGCAATAAAAACAACCTATGCTTTAAAGTTATTGAAACGTTATTCATGACACTTCCAAGATAATTTTTGAAAGTGTTTCCACTGAATTAGTTAGTTTTGGAAGGTTATATCTACTTACTTACTTACTTACTTATGCAATCCCTTGTAGTCTGAGGATGATGGTCCTCCAAGTTTGGTATCCTGGCAGTGGGTCCATAGGTGGCTGTGGAGCCCTTTTCTTGACCTACATCTTCTCCCACAGTGAGGGCATTGGTTTCCAGATGGGAGGCGGTCTCCATGGGGGTTGGCTTGATGCGCCTTCCTCTTGGCACGTGTCTCTCTTTTGCCCTCCGTTCGTGCCTCTTCAAATTTTACAGCACTGCTGGTCACAGCTGACCTCCAGCTAGAGTGCTCAAGGGCCAGGGCTTCCCAGTTTTCAGTGTCTATGCCAGAGTTTTTAAGGTTGGCTTTGAGCCCATCTTTCAAACTCCTTTCCTGCCCTCCAACATTCCACTTTTCATTCTTGAGTTCAGAATAGAGCAACTGCTTTGGGAGATGGTGGTCGGGCATCCAGACAACATGGCTGGTCCATAGAAGTTGATGGCAGAGGACCATCAACTTCTATGCACGCTTGTCTTCCCAAGAGATTTGCAGGATTTTTCGGAGGCAGCGCTGATGGAATCGTTCCAGGGGTTGCATGTGACGTCTGTAGACTGTTCACGTCTCGCAGGGGTATAGCAGGGTTGGGAGGACAATCGCTTTGAAAACAAGCCCCTTGGTCTCCCTACGGATGTCCCGGTCCTCAAACACTCTCTGCTTCGTTCGGAAAAATGCTGCACTCGCAGAGCTCAGGCGGTGTTGTATTTCGGTGTCGATGTTGACTTTGGTGGAGAGGTGGCTGCCAAGGGAGCAGAAATGGTCAACGTTTTCTAATGTGACACCATTAAGCTGTATCCCTGGCATCGGAGAGGGGTTGGCTGGTGTCTGCTGGAAGAGCACTTTGGTTTTCTCGATGTTTAATGACAGGCCAAACTTCTCGTATGCTTCTACGAAGGTGTTTAGAGTGGCTTGTAATCTGTATACGTTGATGTTCATGACTTTGGCATGCCTTACAGCTACCCACTTATACATCATGTATTTTTTTCTTTAGCAGTATTCTTCTTTGTAGTCAAATGATGTTTCTTGAAAACCGTGCACTCCAATACATATCAAAATTGAAGATCATTAGGTTCTTGTGGGGGTTTTTCGGGCTATAGGGCCATATTCTAGAGGCATTTCTCCTGACGTTTCGCCTGCATCTATGGCAAGCATCCTCAGAGGTAGTGAGGTCTGTTGGACTAGGACAATGGGTTTATATATCTGTGGAATGGCTGGGGTGGGGCAAAGAGCTCTTCTCTGCTGGAGCTAGGTGTGAATGTTTCAACTGACCACCTTCATTAGCATTTGAAGGCCTGGCTGAGCCTGGGAAAATCTTTTGTTGAGAGGTGTTAAGATGTGCCTGGTTGTTTCCTCTCTGCTGTTTTGCTGTTGTAATTTTAGAGTTTTTTAATACTGGTAGCCAGATTTTGTTCATTTTCATGGTCTCTTCCTTTCTGCTGAAATTGTCCACATGCTTGTGGATTTCAATGGCTTCTCTGTGTAGTCTGACATGGTGGTTGTTGGTGTGGTCCAGCATTTCTGTGTTCTCAAATAATATGCTGTGTCCAGGCTGGTTCATCAGGTGCTCTGCTATGGCTGACTTCTCTGGTTGAAGGAGTCTGCAGTGCCTTCCATGTTCCTTGATGCGTGTCTGGGTGCTGCGTTTGGTGGTCCCTATGGAGACTTGTCCACAGCTGCATGGTACACGGTAGACTCCTGCAGAGGTGAGAGGATCCCTCTTGTCCTTTGCTGGACCACTCTCAACCACCATGTAAGACTACACAGAGAAGCCATTGAAATCCACAAGCATGTGGACAATTTCAACAGAAAGGAAGAGACCATGAAAATGAACAAAATCTGGCTACCAGTATTAAAAAACTCTAAAATTACAACAGCAAAACAGCAGAGAGGAAACAACCAGGCACGTCTTAACACCTCTCAACAAAAGATTTTCCCAGGTTCAGCCAGGCCTTCAAATGCTAATGAAGGTGGTCAGTTGAAACATTCACACCTAGCTCCAGCAGGGAAGAGCTCTTTGCCCCACCCCAGCCATTCCACAGATATATAAACCCATTGTCCTATTTCCAACAGATCTCACTACCTCTGAGGATGCTTGCCATAGATGCAGGCGAAGCGTCAGGAGAGAATGCCTCTAGAACATGGCCCTATAGCCCGAAAAAACCCACAAGAACCTGATTCCAGCCATGAAAGCCTTCGACAATACATTGAAGATCATTGTTTGCAAAACTGAACCAGACAAGATTTGCATGCATTTCTGAAGTCCATTAATGTTTCTTCAGCCATTTTACATCTTGGGCAAGTTTCACAGTATTTCCATTTCCAATAATGCCAATATAGTTATTCTCTTCTGACCTTCTGGGAGACCTTGGAACCCAACATGGGAAACCGGTTTCCTGGGAATATCAGCCATTCTATGAACATGTTTTCTCTTCTTCTTCCTCAGGTGCGGATGGCGGGACCATCCCATTTTCATTTCTCCATTTTGAGCCTCCTGTTTATCTTCACATTTCTTCCAGGTATGTTCTGGATGGTGGAAACTGGGGTAATCTTCTTACATATAAGCTGACTCACCAAGGCTATTTCATCACATAATAGTCATCATCATGTAACAATCACATCTTACTTATGCGATTCCTCGTGTCCGAGTAGAATTGTCTTCCAAGGTCAGTGTACTGGTGGGACCATAGGTGACTGTGGAGCACTATTCTTGATCTGCATCTTCTCCCACAGTGAGGGCATTGGATTCCAGGTGGAATCCAATGCCCTCATAGGGCTTGTTCTCCAGGCCCTTTATCATTTCGCGCACTGGGCCTATAGCAATTGGCTTTTGAACAGGACATGCTCTTTGTGCCCAGCGGGAAGCCGGGGTGCCTCGAGTGAGAGGCCCTAAGGATTTTCCTATACAAAGTCTTTAGAAGCTTGAAAAGTTTAACGAAGTCCTTTATTATTGCTTAAGTCTTCAACAAACAATCTTAGATCTTCAACAAATCAAACAAATACTTCAAGGCTTTGAATCAACTGGTGGCTTGCTTAAATCTTGTCCACAAGGGACAGGCAGCTTGCTTTCCTTTACGAGGAAAACCCTTTTTGACCCCTCCCTGGGCAATCTGCTTTCTAGGCTTTGCTGGTGTGGGCCCTACTCCTGGCTCCAAATTGCTTCTTGGGTACCCGAGTAGACCTACCAGCCAAGGCTCTGAAGAATTTCCAGCTGGAGTCCTTAGGATTTTTCCCACGAAAGTTGTAGGTCCGTTTCTCCAACCCCAACAAGGGTTGTGCTGTAAAGCTGTTTCTCTTAAAAGCCTTTCTTTAGAGACTGTTCTTAAAGCTGTGAGGCTGTAAATTCCCCAGCCAGAGCTTTTGGGACTGTTTTCCCCCGGACTTTGTAAGAAATGAAGCTTCTCTACAGGTAGAAAACTTTCACGTCCTGTAGCTGAGCTTCCAACTGTAAGACTGAACTAAAATGGTTCCCTTTCCCTCCTGAACCTGGAAAAAAGGGCGGAACTAAAACTTAACGATGATAGACAGGTGGCTAGCCCCATGACTGCAGCCTAGCAGGAACCATCCAACTGCAAAATGCATGGCCAGAACAAGCACATGCAAACGCTCAAAGAACGAAAGGGAGTTTGGAGCTCCTGGTACCAGCACACCCCTGATCATTTTAGTCGCCCTCCTCTGGACACCTTCCAGCTTGTCAATATCTTTCTTCAATTGTGGTGCCCAGAATTGGACACAATATTCCAGGTGTGGTCTAACCAAGGCAGAATAGAGCATGGGAGCATGACTTCCCTGGATCTAGACACTATGCTCCTCTTGATGCAGGCCAAAATCCCATTCATCAAAATCCCATTGATCCTTGAGTGTTGTTTGGAAAAGGCTCATTTAAAGGTCTCTCGAAGGGCTTAAGTGTTCATTTGACATAACATGACATAATATGGCATGAACTATATGTTCTATTAACATGGTCTGTGGAAAAATGCCTACTATCATAACCATTATTGTCCATCCAAAATAGTATGGAAAAAGCAATCTGGGAAACAACGGCTTTATGGAGAAGAAGCTCAAGCAGAGATAGGGCATATCAGGTTGGATGGATGCATCATTAGTCCATATCCCAAACCCTATAACCCTTGGTTCTGGAGTCATAGAATCATAGAATCCAAGAGTTGGAAGAGACCTCGTGGGCCATCCAGTCCAACCTCATTCTGCCAAGAAGCAGGAATATTGCATTCAAATCACCCCTGACAGATGGCCATCCAGCCTCTGTCTAACTACATCTCTACCTACATTTTTAGGAGTCTGCCTGAATCTGTTTTTCTCTTCTTGTAAACCAAGATGTTCTTCTCTTGTAACAGGTAGCCAAGGCATGAAGTGCAAGAGTGGCTGGTTCCCCTATGAGCAGCACTGCTATGGATATTTCCCACAACAAGAAACATGGAACCATGCAGAGGTATGTCATTGACATGTATGTACATTGGACCAAACAATTGCATAGGGCAAGGGACTTCCAGCACCCAACCTAATGTCCTGTCTTGAAGGTGACCCAAGAGAATAGGCACTGGTAAATCCAAGATGGAATAGGTTACAGTATGGAAGTGATCAGAGCCGGAAAATGGTCATGACCCAGGAACTGAGCTGGAAAATAGTCCAAGGGGTACATTTGCACTGTACAATTATTGCGGTCTGATATGTCCTGAACTGTCATGGCTCAATGCTATGGAGATGTAATTTTACAAAGTCTGTAGCCTTCTCAGTGACAAAGAAAGCTAAACTCCTTCAGTTTGCCTCTGCAGTACTTCTCAAAATGGTAATCTGAAGTGATGTTGGATCACTTACTGTTGTCATTTTGAGGGAAACTGCAAGGTAGTGTTCTTGAGGGCTGGAATGAGGTTCTGGAATGCTTGTTTGGTTGAGATGGAGGTATTTGTTTTCATAACTAAACACACAGATGTCTATAATATGCAGTAGATAGGAAAGAGGGTGTATGGTATAGAGTAGTGTAATACTTCTCATATAGGTATTCTATTTATCCACTTTTCACATAAGTATACTCATAACATATTAAGTGGTATAACTCACATAATTTTACTCCAGACTTGCTAAGATTCTCAAGTATAACTAAGGCTTCAAATTAGGTTAATAATGCATACTTAACATAAAGCTGTACATATAGGTAACCCTTATTCTAACAGCACAATAGTAGTAGTATTGGTTCTGTAATACAAATAAAGTTCAAAAACAGTCTTATTGCCGTCTTGAATATGTTCTTAAGTCTTCATGGAGTCAACAAACAAATTAATGCACATATAAATGTTCAAATTCTTCATGCAAGTGAAGTTGACGTGGATTTACTCTTGGGTAAGTCCTTTGCCACAAGGTTGTAGTTTCAGTCCTTTATTATTGTTGTTGTTTCTAGATGTCAGGGACGGCCAAGTAAACCAGTTGTACTCACCCGGCATGAGGCGGTCCCTAAGATAGAAAGGTCCTTGGCCATTTTGAGCCCTAAATGTCAGGATCGGTATCTTGTCAGAGATCCGATGTTCTCTTGGTAGCCAATGCAGTTGTTGCAGAATCGGTGTGATATGGGATCTTAGAGATGATCCCGCTAGCAGTCTGGCCGTTGCATTTTGGACCATCCGAATCTTCTGGGTCGTTGACTTCGGAAAGCCGGCATAGAAGGCGTTGCAATAGTCCAACCTCGTGGTGACTGTTGCGTGGATTACTGTTGCCAGTGCTTCTACCGAAAGGTCGGATGCCAATTTCCTTGCCTGTCGAAGATGAAAAAAGGCCTGCTTCCTTATGGCCGTGATCTGGGCCTCCGTCGTCAGCGATGAGTCCAACACAACCCTTTAAGGCTTTGAACAGTGGCAGATGGAACCAGAGCTTCCCCATCGAAATCAGGCAGAGACTGGGTTAATTCTGGCGGCTGGCTGGGCCAGAGTATCTCAGTTTTTGCAGGATTCACTTTGAGTCTGCTCGCTCACAGCCAACTCATCACTGCTTCCAAACACAGCTTAAAGTTCTCAGGAATCGCGGTTGTCCCAGGTTCGAGACGCAAGAGTAGCTGGGTATCATCTGCATACTGGTAGCACTCTATACCAAAGCTCTGCACCAACCAGCAAGTGGCTGGACATAGATATTAGGGCTGGGCGGTTTCGTTTCGTTAATTCGTAATTCGTTAAAAAATTCGTTAATTTTTTAATTACAAAACGATAACGAACCAGTCTGGAGCAATTTTTTTAAAAAACGAATTTTTAAATCATTTCGTAAATGTTTTGCATTTCGTTATTGTATTCGTTTCGTTATTGTTTTGAGGTCGTTTCATTATTATTTCCGCATGTCTAGGGCAAGTTTTATAGTTGTTTTTGGTTTTCTAAGGGTTTTTATAGTTGTTTTTGGTTTAATTAAGCTTCAGAAGTTCCCCCTGTCCCATTTGGAGGTTTTTTAGCGTATTGCGCGGTCGCGTCCGCCATTAACGAATCGATTCGTTATTGTTTCGGAAATCGATTCGTTATTGTTTTGTAATTTTTTTTAACATTTACGAAATTTCGTAAATATCGAACTTTTTAAAGGAAAATTTTGTAATTATTTTAAATAACGAAACGCAAAAAACCCCAAAAAACGAATCGATTTTAGAAACAAATTTTTCCGTTGTTACCCAGGCCTAATAATAATAAATAACAGGGACGAGAGGATGGCACCCTTGGGAACTCACAGCAAAGGCAGGAGCTCTCAGAGCTTTGGCCTGACCACTCCACCCTCTGTCTCCAGTCCCGGAGGAACTAATTGAACCATTTCAGGGCTAAACCTCGTACACCAGACATAGCCAATCGATGAATCAGCAAGTCATGGTCCCTCTTGAAGCTGGAAAGTTAAATAGCCTCTGTGTGTCTGTCTATTAGGCCTGGGTAACAACGGAAAAATTTGTTTCTAAAATCGATTAGTTTTTTGGGGGTTTTTGCGTTTCGATATTTAAAAGAATTCCGAAATTTTCCTTTAAAAAAGTTCGATATTTACGAAATTTCGTAAATGGTAAAAAAAAACAAAACAATAACGAAACAATAACGAATCGATTCGTTAATGGCGGCCGCGATCGCGCAATACGCTAAAAAACCTTCTGAAGCTTCCCTCTCCCTCTGTTGTTGACTGTTGGTGTGATATTATATTTTTTTTCACTAATTAAACAAAAAACAACTATAAAACTTGCCCCAGACATGCGGAAATAATAACGAAACGACCTCAAACCAATAACGAAACGAATACATAACGAATCGAAGCATTTACGAAACGAATTGAAAAATTCGTTTCGTTTTTAAGTTGCTCCAGAATGGTTCGTTATCGCTTCGTTATAAAAAAAACGAATTTTTAACGAATTACGAATTAACGAAACGAAACCGCCCAGCCCTAATATTATTATATAATATATTTGATATTATATTAATATAGAAATATATATCTATATTAATATATTAATATATACTATATTAATATATTAATATACTATATTAATATATTATATATTAATATACTATATTATATATTATATATTAATATACTATATTAATATATTATATATTAACATATGTGTGCCCCTTTGGAGACCTTTGATTGTCCCTTCCTGCACAACACAAGAGGGTTGGTTTGCGTGGCCTTTGTGTGCCCCTTAGAAGACCTTTGATGGTCCCTTCCTGCACAACACAAGAGGGTTGGTCTGCATGGCCTTTGTGTGCTCCTTAGAAGACCTTTGATGGTCCCTTCCCACACAACACAAGAGGGTTGGTTTGCGTGGCCTTTGTGTGCCCCTTAGAAGACCTTTGATGGTCCCTTCCCACACAACATGAGAGGGTTGGTTTGTGTGGCCTTTGTGTGCCCCTTAGAAGACCTTTGATGGTCCCTTCCCACACAACACAAGAGGGTTGGTTTGCGTGGCCTTTGTATGCCCCTTAGAAGACCTTTGATGGTCCCTTCCTGCACAACACAAGAGGGTTGGTTTGTGTGGCCTTTGTGTGCCCCTTAGAAGACCTTTGATGGTCCCTTCCCACACAACACAAGAGTGTTGGTTTGTGTGGCCTTTGTGTGCCCCTTTGGAGTAGGCCTGTTTGATCAAGAAAAAATTTGTTTCTAAAATCGATTTGTAATTGGGGTGTTTTTTTGTTTCGATATTTAAAATATTTACAAAACTTTCCAAAAAAAAGTTTTGTTATTTACAAAATTTCGTAAATATTTACAAAACATTTTGTAAAGATGGCGGACCCCCGCGCATGCGTAAAAAACACTTCCGAAGCTTCGTTATTTCTGAGGATGCCTGCCATACATGCAGGCAAAACGTCAGGAGAGAATGCTTCCTTCCTTCCCCTTCCCCCTTTCTCTCCCCTTCCCCCTTTCTCTCCCCTTCCCCCTCCCTCCTTCCCTCCCTTCCTTTCCTTCTTCCTTCCTTCCTTCCTTCCCTTGCCCCAGATGCCGGCCCGGGGAAGCCAGCGTTGCCTGGCCACGCCCACCCAGCGCCGCCTCCGCTTGTTCTCCTGGCACAGCTGGGAGGGGAACAGGAGGTGCTTCATGGCCGCAGATCTTCTTCTGCTGTGCTCTCTTGTTCTCCGTGGCCACGAGACGCCACCTGCTTCCCTCCCAGCCGTGCCAGGAGAACAAGCGGAGGCAGCGCCTGGCCCGGTGTACCACGGAGAGAAAGAAGAAGGAAGGAAAGGAAGGGAGGGAAGGAGGGAGGGAGGGGAAAGGAGAAGAAAGGGAAGGAAGGAAGGGGAAGGGAAGAGAAAGGGGCCAGGGGAAGGAAAGAAGGAAAGAGCGGGAAGCCTGGTCCGGCAAAGTTTGGTCCAGATCCAACATTGTTTGAGTCCACAGTGATCTCTGGATGTAGGTGAACTACAACTCCAAAACCAAAGGACACTGCCCACCAAACCCTTCCAGTATTTTCTGTTGGTCATGGGAGAACTGTGTGACAAGTTTGGTTCAATTCCATCGTTGGTGGGGTTCAGAATGCTCTTTGATTGTAGGTGAACTATAAATCCCAGTAACTACAACTCCCAAATGTCAATGTCTATTTCCCCCAAACTCCACCAGTGCCCTAAGGGCGAGCGCGCGCGGGCCGGCCAATCGGGAGCCGCGCTCGCGCCCAACAGGCAGGGGCGGGGCTTGGCTCACTGCAGTGATGGGCAACCTTTTGAGCTTGGTGTGTCAAAATTCGCCAAAAAACCAAGCATAATTCAGGTGGGGTGCCACTTTGAGAGTGAAAAGGAAGGAAGGAAGGAAGGAAGGAAGGATCTGGAAAAGGGAGGAAGAGAGAGGAGGGAATGCAGGAAGGGGCCAGCGGCTGCAGGAAACTCCCTAACTTGGCCCTCCTGCCTCAGGAAAGTTTGACTAGCTGCCAGCCCAGCCTGAGAGAGACAGAAGCAGCAGCGCCACTGGATGGGTTGAGCTGAGGAGGAGGAAAAAAAGACCCCAACCACCAAGCGTGCGCCTGTGTGTGCGCGCGCGGGTAGAGACTCCCTTCACCAAAAGCGGCCATGTCAAAGGCGCAGCCGGGTGATTGGCAGGCGAGGGGCGGAGCCGGAGGATCCTTTCTCCCGCGACGCGCTCCTGCCTTAAAGAGACAGCACACTTTTTTCCCTCTCTCCCTCTCTTTCGACTGTTTGGAGGAGCGAGCAAGCAAGCAAGCTCACTGGGTGCGCGCTCGCGCCGCCCGCCCCATTTACGAAACGGGCGAAAGCTCGTAAAAACTGTGGGGGCTGCCGTTTCGATATTTAAAAACCCTTCCGGGTTTGAAAATATGTTTTGTTATCGTTTCGGATATGCAAAAATTAACGAATGTTTAACGAATTAACGAATTAACGAACGAAACCGCACAGGCCTACTATATATGTTGTGTGTCTATGGCATTGAATGTTTGCCATGTATATGTGTGTATTGTGATCCGCCCTGAGTCCCCTCCAGGTTGAGAAGGGCAGAATATAAATACTGTAAATAAAATAAATAAATACATTTTCTCTTTTTTTTCTGTTGGATGATCGCCTCCTTGTCTTTGGTCCACATCAGACAGAATGTATGTCATACGGGACAGAAAGCCATCTCGCCTCTATCTTCAGTCGCAGGGAAATGGATACCGTGGCCACTTGGCTTACAACCAACTTTGTAATCGAAGAGCCTATTTGGATCGGACTATACAACGTAGGCAGCATGCACGTAGGTATGGGGTAATCTTTCCTCTTCTATCCCTGAGCAAAGCCTTGCATTGAAATATTTGTCTGAAAAGGAAGGGAGAAGGCATTCATCCCACAAAAGAAAAACTCCACCATCTCCAGCCCTGTGGACTAGTTAGGAACGACCTATTTTGTGCCTTTGGTTTTTTCTTTCTTTCATATATCCCATTTGTATCAACTGATTTGAAGAAGGGGAAATTTGGAAATCAGGTTTCCAGCACTTTTGCAATATGTCATTGACTGGGCACCACAATTCAAGAGAGATATTGACAAGCTGGAATGTGTCCAGAGGAGGAGGACTAAAATGATCAAGGGTCTGGAGAACAAGCCCTATGAGGAGCGGCTTAAGGAGCTGGGCATGTTTAGCCTGAAGAAGAGAAGGCTGAGAGGAGATATGATAGCCATGTATAAATATGTGAGAGGAAGCCACAGGAAGGAGGAGGGAGCAAGCTTGTTTTCTGCTTCCTTGGAGACTAGGACGCAAACAATGGCTTCAAACTACAAGAGAGGAGATTCCATCTGAACATGAGGAAGAACTTCCTGACTGTGAGAGCCGTTCAGCAGTGGAACTCTCTGCCCCGGAGTGTGGTGGAGGCTCCTTCTTTGGAAGCTTTTAAAGCAGAGGCTGGATGGCCATCTGTCAGGGGTGATTTGAATGCAATATTCCTGCTTCTTGGCAGAATGGGGTTGGACTGGATGGCCCAGGAGGTCTCTTCCAACCCTGTGATTCTATGATTCTATGATTCTATGAACGTTTACTTACAATCATTCCAATTTCACAAATACATGATATACATCTAATGATTGAAAGAACAGTTGGAAATGTCAAAATGGTCAAATATTGTGTTTATCAAATAAGTTTTTTCCCTCACAAGCGAGGGACAAATGAGAATAATCTTGAGTGTATTAGAATTTTAACAATGTGGAGTATATTCTAATTTATCTGCTTATTTTTGTTCTGGTTTGTTGTAGGTTTTTTCAGGCTATATGGCCATGGTCTAGAGGCATTCTCTCCTGATGTTTCACCTGCATCTATGGCAAGCATCTCAGAGGTAGTGAGGTCTGTTGGAACTAGGAAAAAGGGTTTATATATCTGTGGAATGACCAGGGTGAGACAAAGGACTCTTGTCTGCTGGAGCTAGGTGGGAATGTTTCAACTGACCACCTTGATTAGCATACAATGGGCTGACTGTGCCTGGAGCAAACTTTTTTTGAGAGGCTCTCACAACCACCATGTCAGGCTACACAGAGAAGCCATTGAAATCCACAAGAGGCATGTGGACAATTTCAACAGAAAGGAGGAAACCATGAAGATGAACAAAATCTGGCTACCAGTATTAAAAAAAACTCTAAAATTGCAAAAGCACAACAACAGAGAGGAAACAAACAAGGACATCTAATCACCTCTCAACAAAAGTTTGCTCCAGGTACTGTCAGGCCATTATATGCTAATCAAGGTGGTCAGTTGAAACATTCACACCTAGCTCCAGAAGAGTCCTTTGTCCCACCCTGGTCATTCCACAGATATATAAACCCTTTTTCCTAGTTCCAACAGACCTCACTACCTCTGAGGATGCTTGCCATAGATGCAGGTGAAACGTCAGGAGAGAATGCCTCTAGACCATGGCCATACAGCCCGAAAAAACCTACAACAACCCAGTGATTCCGGCCATGAAAGCCTTCAACAATACATCTGGCATTGAATGTTTGCCATTTTTTGTTGGAATCCACCTTCAGTTCCCTTGGGGAGAGAGGGCGGAATACAAATAAAATTATTATTATCATAGAATCATAGAATCAAAGAATCCTAGAGTTGGAAGAGACCTCCTGGGCCATCCAGTCCAACCCCATTCTGGCAAGAAGCAGGAATATTGCATTCAAATCACCCCTGACAGATGACCATCCAGCCCCTGTTTAAAAGCTTCCAAAGAAGGAGCCTCCACCACTCTCCGGGGCAGAGAGTTCCACTGCTGAACGTCTCTCACAGTCAGGAAGTTCTTCCTCATGTTCAGGTGGAATCTCCTCTCTTGTAGTTTGAAGCCATTGTTCCATTTATTTATGTATTTATTTATTTACTGCATTTGTTGACCGCCGTTCTCAGCCCTAGGGCGACTCACGGCGGTGTACAACATATAAAAACAGTTTACATTAAGGGAATATCACAACAATAATATCAACATAACAATCAATAGTACGATTACACTAAATCATCCATGCTGTCTCATCGTAGAATCATAAACCAATCTCATAAACCATTGCGTCCTAGTCTCCAAGGAAGCAGAAAACAAGCTTGCTCCCTCATTCCACTCACATATTTATACATGGTTCTCATATCTCCTCTCAGCCTTCTCTTCTTCAGGCGAAACATGCCCAGCTCCTTAAGCCGCTCCTCATAGGGCTTGTTCTCCAGACCCTTGATCATTTTAGTCGCCCTCCTCTGGACACATTCCAGCTTGTCAATATCTCTCTTGAATTGTGGTGCCCAGATGATGATGATGATGATGATGATGATGATGATGATGATTTGGCACCGGATAATTTCCAGTTTGTGAATTTTGTCCAGCATCCATTCCCATTTGTAAATTTTGCACAGAATAACTTCATTTTTTCAAATTTTGCGAGACGTAAGTTCCAGTTTGTGAAACTTGCATGGCACAGTTTCTGAGCTTTGAATAATACTATTAGTAGCACTATTGGGAAGACAGTGGGTAGAATAACTAATTGTTAGCTTCAATTTTGCAAAGACAAATGCTCCTGTTTTCTTTTTTGCAACCTTTTTGCCTCCTGCATTCTTATTGCATCAAAAAGAAGTTAATGATGTTGGTCGTGGCAACGCTAGTCTGCCTCCCCTTTCCATACTTCTGATACAAACGATCTTCCATGCCTATTTAGCCAAAATGTCGGGTGGAGACATACAAAACATGTAAATACTGTTGTTTGCACTTCACCCTTCCAGGGATCCCAAGAAGGAATATAGAATCTCTAGACCAGTGTTGCTCAACCTGGGGGTTGGGACCCCTGGGGGGGTTGCGAAGGGGTGTCAGAGGGGTCGCCAAAGACCATCGGAAAACACAGTATTTTCTGTTGGTCATGGGGGTTCTGTGTGGGAAGTTTGGCCCAATTCATTGTTGGGGTTCAGAACACTCTTTGATTGTAGGTGAACTATAAATCCCAGCAAGTACAACTCCCAAATGTTAAAGTCTATTTTCCCCAAACCCCATCAGTGTTGACATTTGGGCATACTGAGTATCCGTGCTAAGTTTGGTCCAGATCCATCATTGTTTGAGTCCACAGTGCTCTCTGGATGTAGGTGAACTACAACTCCCAAACTCAAGGTCAATGCCCACCAAATGTGCCTCTCTAGGACCCAGTATGTAGAGGAGATTTTCCTGGGTGGATCGAGGTGACCACTGATGGGGAAAAGGAATGAGGCGGTCCCTAAGATATAAAGGTCCTTGGCCATTTTGAGCTCTAAATGTCAGGATCAGTATCTTGTCAGAGATCCGATGTTCTATTGTTTGCAGGTCAATTGTAAATCCCAGCAACTACAACTCCCAAATGACAAAATCAATCCTCCCGCCAACCCCACCAGTATTCAAATTTGGGCATACCAGGTATTTGTGCCAAATTTGCTCCAGTGAATGAAAATACATCCTGCAGATCATTATTTACATGGCGATTCATAATGTTAGGGTTATGGTTGGGGTCACCACAACATGAGGAACTGTATTAAGGGGTCACGGCATTAGGAAGGTTGAGAATCACTGCTCTAGACAATTTCTTGAAAGGCTTCTCCTCAGATTTCTAAGAGGATGGATTGGGCGATCGAGGAGATGTTTGAATTTGTTCCCTTTTGTGTTTGCTGTGTTTGCAGAAGAAACGTTGGAGGTGGTCAGACATGTCTTCCGTCAACTACATCCCCTGGAGCCTCAGCAAATCCAATCAACCTAAGGGGGACTGTGTAGAAATGCCTCGTGTGGGTGAGAAGGGGTTTCCACAATGTATGGAAAGGAAAGGACCGCAGAAATTGAGTCCTATCAAGAACCTTCCTTGTTCTGGAGATGTTGTGATAATTGTGCAAGACTGGGTTGTTGTAGGTTTTTTGGGCTGTATGGCCATATTCTAGAAGCATTCTCTCCTGACGTTTTCACCTGCATCTATGGTAGGCATCCTCAGAGGTTGGGAGATGTCCTCACAACATTGTGGAAGAGACAATTCACACTGTAGAAAATGGTTGTCAGGTGAATCTGAAGGGCATGTTGTTGTTCATTCGTTCAGTCGTCTCCGACTCTTCGTGACCTCATGGACCAGCCAACGCCAGAGCTCCCTGTCGGCCGTCACCACCCCCAGCTCCTTCAAGGTCAGTCCAGTCACTTCAAGGATGCCATCCATCCATCTTGCCCTTGGTCGGCCCCTCTTCCTTTTGCCTTCCACTTTCCCCCGCATCTTCTTCTCTAGGCTTTCCTGTCTCCTCATGATGTGGCCAAAGTACTTCAACTTTGTCTCTAGTATCCTTCCCTCCAATGAGCAGTCGGGCTTTATTTCCTGGAGGATGGACTGGTTGGATCTTCTCGCAGTCCAAGGCACTCTCAGCTCTTTCCTCCAGCACCACAGCTCAAAAGCATCGATCTTTGACTAGGCGGATCTTTGTTGCCAGTCTGATGTCTCTACTCTTTTCTATTTTATCGAGATTGGACATTGCTCTCCTCCCAAGAAGTAAGCGTCTTCTGATTTCCTGGCCACAGTCTGCATCAAGGCCATACAGCCTGAAAAACCTACAACAACCTGTGATTCCGACCATGAAAGCCTTCAACAATACAATTGTGCAAGACCTTTCCTTAATGAAGATGAGAGTTAGTAAAGCTCATGGAAGGACTCAGGGTCCATCTACACTGCTGAATGAATGTGTCACCATTTCAATGCTATGGAAATCTAGAAGTTGTAGTCTGGTGAGACACCAACACTCTTAGCCAAAGAAAGCTAAAGACCTTGATAAACTACAACTCCCAAAATTTCATAGCATTTAGCCATGGCTTTTCAAATGGTGCATTAATTCTACAGTGTAGACATATCTTTTCCCATCCAAGTACTAATCAGGCCTGACCAGATCAACTACACCCAAGAGTATTGAAGGAACTAGCGGAAGTCATTTCAGAACAATTGGCAATCATCTTTGAGAGTTCTTGGAGAACGGGAGAAGTTCCAGCAAATTGGAGGAGGACATATCTTTTCCCATCCAAGTACTAATCAGGTCCGACCCTGTTTAGTTTCCAAGATCAGACGAGATCAGGCGTGTTTAGGATGGTATGGTCGTAGACATAGTGTAGACATATCTTTGATGGATCTCCACTTTACATGGACTATCATGGCCAGATCTGGAATGTTAAGGTACGGGCACAGCTGACGCACAATTTTGAACTGTACGAAGGTGCTCCTGGCCAATGCCAACACCTGAGGTTCCTGGGCCAGGAGGACCCAATAGACCTCAAACCTATATCTTCAGGGAGACTGTGACCCCATCCATCACAGGCTGTAATCCCATAGCCTGATCCACCTTCTGACTGACCAGGAGTACCTCTGTCTTGTCTGGATTTAGTTTCAGGTTGTTATCCCTCATCCAGTCAATTACTGATGACAGCCACCCTGAGGGACCCCAAAAGCCAGTCGCCAAGGGGTCGATCAGGAGTCCTCCAGCATCACCTTCTAGGTTCGACCCTCCAGGAAGGACCAGAGCCACTGTAACACAGTGCCCCCAAATCCCATCTAGGAGAGCCAGCCCAGAAGCATACCATAGTCCATGATATCGAATGCCACTGAGAGGTCCAGGAGAACTAGCTGGGACACACTCCCCCTATCAACTTCTTTTTGTCGATAATACCCAAGGTGACCAATACCATCTCAGTTCCATAGCTGTGATAGTCATGGCCATGATAGTCCATCCCTTAGTCACATCCTGTTTGAACTGCAACAATTGAAACAGATCTAGATAATAGGTTTCATTCAAGAAACTTTGGAGTTGTGAGGCCACCATCTTCTGTAGAACTTTGTCCAGGAATGGGAGATTTGATTCTGGCTGATAGTTGTTGAGGTGAGTGGGATCCAGTGACAGATTCTTCAAGTGGAGTCATACTATGGCCTCCTTGAAAATACTTGAACTGGCCTGGACCCCAAAAAAGCAGAAGTGCCCCTTGGATGCTTTCTAAGGGGCATTTTCGTCTTGCACTTCCTTAGGTGGGTTCACTTTCTTCTATTGTCTTGGAAGGAAACAACATAGAAATGGCGGCATTGCAAAAATGAAAGAAATCCTGGTGCTTTCTCTGTCTTATTTTCTCCTAGATTTTTCGGCATGGGAAGTTCAGGACTGTGCAGAGTCACGAGCCTATCTCTGCAAAGTTGCAATGATGTGAACGGCAATGGTAAAAGAAGGCCAGAGGAAGACGGCTCCTTCAGCCTTGAGGTCTCTCTCTATTGAGAGGCCAACGCTTCGGATTCCCAGGGCCTAAGGCTGTAGCCCCATCCAGCATCTGTGGGTCAGGACTTTCTCACGACTGGAGCATGATGCCAATAAAAATCCATCTCCCAAATGAGTACCCTTTCACTTGGATGCCTTCTTCTTTCATGACAATTGGGAAGGATGGGCAGGATCAGGATCCAAAATGACCACAACAAATTGGAGATTTGAGGCAAAGCTAACAAAATAGATTTCAGCAGGGCGAAATGCAAGATGGTAGTAAAGGTAAAGGTTTCCCCTTGAGATTAAGTCTAGTGGAGTCCGACTCTGGGGGGTGGTGCTCATCTCCATTTCTAAGTTTAAGAGCAGGCATTGTCCGTAGACATCTCCTAGGTCATGTGGCCGGCATAACTGCATGGGGTACTACATTTAGGCAATGCAAATGGCATGAACAGATATAGCAGGCATGGGCAAATATTCTAACTTGGGAGCTGCATGGTGGGCCGGAGCAGGGTGGGTGGGCTGGGAAGAAGGGAGAGGGTTCTCCACAAGTCCCCTCCCTTCCCTGCCCTTTTCTTCCCTTCCTCTTCTCTTTCAGAGGCAGAAAGTGAAAGAAAGATGGGAAACGTTTGGATCCCAAAAGGATTGGTCTTGGTCAGGATGAGATAGTGGACGGAAGAGAAAAAGGGAGGAAGGGTGGAAGGGTGGAAAGGAAAGGAAGAAGAGTGATAGGAAAGAAATTAGGAAGGAAAGACAAAAGGGAAGGAAGGAAGGGAATGGGGGAAGAGAGGAAGGGAGGGAGGAAAGAGAGAACGGAAGGAAGGGTGGAAGGGAAAGGAAGGAGAGTGATAGGAAAGAAATTAGGGAGGAAAGACAAAAGGGAAGGAAGGGAATGGATGGAGAGAGGAAGGGAGGGAAGAAAGAGAGAAGGAAGGAAAGAGAAAAAAGAAGGAAGGAAGGAAGGAAGGAAGGAAGGAAGGAAGGAAGGAAGGAAGGAAGGAAGAGCGAGAGAGAGGGGAGGAGGAAAGAAAGAGGGAGGGAAGGAAGGGAAGGGAGAGAGGGARGGAGAAAARAGAGAAGGAAGGAAAGAGAAAAAGGAAGGAAGGAAGGAAGGAAGGAAGGAAGGAAGGAAGGAAGGAAGGAAGGAAGGAAGGAAGGGTGAGAGAAAGGGGAGGAGGAAAGAAGTAGGGGAGACAGGAAGGAAGGGAGGGAAGGAGGAAAGAGAAGGAAGAAAAGAGAAGATGGAAGGAAGGAAGGAAGGAAGGAAGGAAGGAAGGAAGGAAGGAAGGAAGGAAGGAAGGAGAGGAGGAAAGGAAGAGGGGAAGAAGGARGAATGAAAGGGTGGAAGGGAATGGAGGGAGGGAGGAAAGAGAGATGGAAGGAAAGAAGGAAGGACAGATGGATGGAAGGGAAGGGAGGGAGAAGGGAGGGAAAAGAGGGAGGGAAGGGAGGGAGGGAAGCAGGAAGGAAAGATAGGAGGAAGGATAGGATGGTGAGAGAGAGGAGGGTCTGAGAAAAGAGTCCAAGGGGTCACATCCAGCCCCCCGGGCCTGGGTTTGCCCATACCTGAGATCTAGGATAGGAGACACCTGGCTTGACAACAGTCCATGGGAAAGGGATCTAAGACACCACAAGCTAAACATGAGCCAAGGGTGTGACGCAGCAGCTACAAAAGCCAGTGCAATGCTAGCCCCTTGTCAACATCCACATTCTCACTTTGTCAGATGTTTTCAAAATGTTCCTGTTTCTTGCTCCTCTTCCCACTTTCTTCCTTGGTCCTCAGCTTAGGCCAGTTGCCGCAATATGAGTTGAAAGTGCAACAGGAAATGAAAGAGGAAAGAAATCGTGTCCTTCTCAGTAGGTTCTGGCCAAAGCAAAAGCTCCTGCAGTCTCCCCTAGTTTGTGAGAAAAATGTCTGGAGATCTTAAAAAATAAAAGTATGTATGAATATGGATTTGGCTTGTACCACAAAGGCTCCTGCGTGGCTTGATGGATCTGGACCAAATTTGGCTCACGGGCCCTTCATTTTCCATCTTAAAAGAATTGTGCAGTTTGAACAATAAAATCCCCCACCTCTTTCAGGCCCAAATCGGAGGGAAAGAAAAGGAACAATGCAGATTGGCTGCACTGCTAGTTTGCATGAATCTATTTAAGCCATGCATTTCGCAATAAGGTAGCTTCCCTCAGGTTGCATTCATAGAGCCAACAACTTGGTAATCATCGTTAGAATCTTTAGACCCACCCCTTTTCCCAGGGTTTTGGAGGCAAAGGAGGACCTTTGTTCAGTCTCACTGTTTGAAGCCTAACAGCAGGATGTGTGGGGTTCTCTTTCCCACCTGCACAAAAGCTTCACTTCTCACAGCTCTGCTGGGGGAGTAAAGGAATTTCCACAGCTTTGCTGGGGGAATACAGCCAGCTTTTGCTGGGGGTTAAAGAAATAGATCCACAGCTCTGCTGGGGAGTAAAGAAATAGTACCTACAGCCTTCGTGGAGAAACTAAAGGGCACCTTTCAGCTTGGCAGATCTCCAGGAACCTTGCCTGGTAAGGGACCACTCGGACTATCCATAAAGCAGCTTGGAGCCGGGAGTGGGGGCCTCACGCCAGCAAGGTAAAGAGAGATTGCCCAGGGAGGGGTCAAAGGATTTCCCTAAGGAAGAAAGGAACAGTTTACCACCAGTTGCCTGTCCCTTGATAGCAGATTGAGGAAGTTACCGGTTTTCCAAGGTTATAAAGCATTTAACTCATTTGTTTAAAGGTTTAAGCCCAAATAAAGAACTTTGTTGAACTTATCTTGAGCCTCAATAGAACTTTGTGTTGGGAAATCTAAAGGGCCCTTCAGCTGAGGCACCCCGGCGTCCCGTTGGGCATACAGAGAGCATGTCCTGTAAACAGACCTTATTTCAGGCCTAGCGTGCGACAGCACAATAATAATAATAATAATAATAATAATAATAATAATAATAGAGACAGGGGGCCTGATTCTGGCAGCCCAAGAACAAGCTATTAGAACCAATGCCATCAAAGTCAGAATTCAAAAGTCGACAACAGATCCCAAATGTAGACTCTGCAAGGAAGCAGATGAAACAGTAGATCACACCCTCAGCTGCTGCAAGAAGATCTTGCAGACAGACTACAAGCAGAGGCACAACACCGTTGCTCAAATAATTCATTGGAACTTGTGCCACAAAGACCATCTGCCTGCAACAAAGAACTGGTGGGATCACAAGCCGGAAAAAGTTACAGAAAATGAACACGTCGAATGTAAAGATCCCTTACCTTGCTAGCATGGATGGCAGGGCCTAGGAGAAGCAGGCCAGTTAGTTGCAGCTTTAGAAGGCCTGGCAGAGGGCAGCAGGAGCCATTTTAGTTTAGGGAAAACACCATTTCAGAGAGGGGGAGTGGCCTAGGCCTGAGCCAGCCTTAGAACAGCCAGGATTGGTTTATTAAAGGGGGCGGAGTTTAGACTGTTTGGAGGGAAAGAAGAGGGCTTTTTCAGTCAGTCTGTTGGTGTTATAGATTAGAATAGGAAGATAGTTTAGGAGTTCGTGTTAAGAGTAGGCAGTTAGCCTTAGGTTTGCCAGCGAATAGAAGCTGTAGCAAACTGGTATAGCTATTTAAGGAGAAATAGCTGGATTTGTAGTTAGCTAGGCCACAGTTGGGGGGTAGCTAAGCTACAGTTGTATCTTGGCAGAGATTCAGATCCTGTCAAGTATACTTGTTTTTTTAAAGAGAAGAAAATCTCTATATTTGTAACAAAGACAGAACCATTCACATGTAACCGTTACGCTTTAAAGACAAGAACATTTCTCTGTAACAGCCAAGCTTATTAAACAGCATTTACTTCATTCTGTATTCCATCAATAAACTTTTCTTGATTATTTTTAAACTTTAAAAGCCTGAGTCCAGTGTGCCTTTGTGGCTATAGTTTTCTCCATTCAACCTCAACTTGTTTTCCTTTAAAGAAGCACATAAGAAGAAATATTAAAACCCAGTGCTTGGTGATCTTTAAAACCATTTTAAGATTTTACAGCTAGAGTGTTCCTGTACATTTGTTATGGTGGCAGCGGAAGTTTAATTAGTGAGACATCCCCTCAAACGTTATATTGGTGCCAGAGTGGTGTGAATTTTTTATACTGGAGGGACAGTTGGTGGGTTCTGTTTGACCCCCTGTCCAGAGATATTGTTTGGCCACACGACGTGCCTTTATAATTTGGTGGCAGTGGTGGGATTCGTTTGTTCCCCCCTGCCTCGATAAGCCTCTAATGCCTTTATATCAAACTCCTCTGGGACTTCCGAATTCAGAAGGAGTTCTGGAGCACAATACTCCTGGCCTCACAATCGTGTTAAAAAACAAGTATGGATCGTCGATGTTGCAGTTGCAGGTGACAGCAGGATTGCAGAGAATCAACTGGAAAAGTTGACAGAATATGAAGTGATTTCAAAGTTTTTAAGGAAAACAGAAGTCCCTTTGCCCTTCCAAAGCTTTTTCCGCCATTTCTCTTACGAATCAGTAAGTGTGTCAGAAATGATTTCGCTTCCCCCCCCCCTCCTTCTGTTCCCTGGCCTTAGTTCAAGCCAGAGAAGCTGGATGGCCATTTGTCAGGGGTGATTTGAATGCAATATTCCTGCTTCTTGGCAGGGGGTTGGACTGGATGGCCCATGAGGTCTCTTCCAACTCTTTGATTCTATGATTCTATGATTCTAAGCGTTCTAAACCAGTGTGGATGGATTCCCTTCCTTTCCTTTCCCTCCCACTTCAGTCTTAAGCGAGAGAAGCAGTTTTAACCAGAGTGGATGGATTTCTTCCCTTTATTCCCCCTGCCCCACCCCGCTTCTGTAGTAAAACAACTACTTTCAAAGTAAAGACCACCCAATGAAACAGGAAATAACACTTTCAAACCATTAAGGAAGGATTCGGAAGTCTCTGAAGTTTCGCAAAGTTTTGAACATTTTTT